GTAGGACAACTGTAGGCTTCGCAACCATTAAGAGAGTGGAAACATTTTTTGCTGTTTGGCGCTCTCGGCTAGTGATCTGAATAGTTTTTTATTTGGTGTTGATAATCCTTATGCTTTGGCGGCATTTTATAGATATGTTCTTATAAACAATTTTATTGCGAACACAGTGATTCCAAATTTAAATACGTGCGCCTTTAATTATTGTCAGGACAGTCAAAAGAGTGTACACTTTTTCGGTCTTACCGCATAGGCGCGCGAAGCGCCGAAAGCGTCTGGGGTATGATTTTTTTTTGAACGCCAAGAGCAGGAAAGTGTAATAAAATGTCTGAAATGTCGGAAATTTGACTCCTGAGCGTGATTTTTTATCCAAATTCTGACTCTCTGCACCTATTTTCAGTTTCAAATTACGACTTTTTATACCGAAAATATGCCAATTACAGAAAACAGCGATGGGTCATATTTTCCCCAAACCCCCCTGCAGTTTTCAAAATATCTGAAATGTCGGAAATTTGACTCCTGATTTCTCTTTGGGTTGTTTTAAGGGGCCTGACAGCCGAGTGGACAGCGCTTCGGATTCGTAATCCTGATGTTCCGGGTTCGATCCCCGGTGGAAGATGAAACAAATGGGCACTTTCTTTCACCCTGATGACCCTGTTTACCTATCAGTAAATAAGTACCTGGGAGTTAGACAGCTGCTTCTGCTGCTTCCTGAGGATGTGTAAGAAAAAGAAGGCCTGGTCGAGGACCGGGCCGCGGGGGACGCTAAGCCCCGAAATCATCTCAAGATAACCTTAAGATTGATGGCTAACTACTGGCATGGCTATTAAGGCCACCACAAGCGCACTAATGACTTAACTAGCGGGTACACCTATGGCTGCCACCTGACAATCACCTCTATATTTTGTCTAAATACATAAAATATACAAAATAATAACGAATAACAACATGAAGTACACACCCCGAACAATTCTTCCTATATTATGATTGCGTAATGAGATCTGTTACACACTTTTTTTTCACTGGTAATCAACATGACCCTTGCCAGGCGGCGGCGGCTGGTCGACAAATGAGCCACACGTTAAGAAGCGGGACTCCCAGACGCGCCACTCACCCTTACTTCACCATAATATCTAAACTGTCAACCTCTAATACAGTTAAGCATCTGACCACCAGAGGCGCTAATGCTTCCCTGTTATTACGCCATCCATATAATGATTGCTCTCATTATTCATTGTTGCAACGTTTAAATACATTCAACACTGTAGTGACGTCAGTGTCAGATGCAGTCGATGAGTCACGATAACGTGGCTGAAGTATGTTGACCAGACCACACACTAGAAGTTGAAGGGACGACGACGTTTCGGTTCGTCCTGGACCATTCTCAAGTCGATTGTGAAGAGGAGATTGATTGATGATTGATAAAGATTAAGCCACCCAAGAGGTGGCACGGGCATGAATAGCCCGTAAGTGGTACAATTTTTTTTTCTCAGTATTCTGAGGTTGCATTTAACCACCAAGCTGTTATCGCGGGGGAGGATACTGCTTCACAGTTTTTATGAGGGTGTCCAGCTGCTGGACACCTTTGTTGACCAGGAGAGTGGCTGTGTTGATGGCTTCAGGGTGGCCACTGCATGATTCAGGAACTCTTAAAGCTCTTCTAAGGTCATTGGTTGCTTCACATTCCAGAAGATAGTGAAGTAATGGCTTTTCTGTGACAGTTTGGCAGAAGATGCACTCTCTCTGTCGGGGTTCACCAATCTCCCAGTTGCATCTGTAACCTAGACGTAGTCTATATAGCCTAACTGCTATTTCCCTGTGGATTCCTTTTGGGATATTTAACCTTTCTAATTTGGTTGCCTGAAGATACCATGTTGCAGATGGCGAACCTTCAGCTATTCTCTGGTGCAGGTAGGCTTTGTTGAGATGTGAGAGTTTTTTGGTGATGATGTTTTTTATGTTCTCTAGGCTGGGTTGAATTGTTTTATATATCACTGGATGACGAGTTGCCAATTTAGCAATTTCATCAGCTTTCATCCACCTCTTGGGTGGCTTAATCTTTATCAATCACTCTTGGTGGCCAGGGTTCAAGTCCTCTGGTGAGAGTTATGTGTCTAAAAGTTCTATACTTCTAACTTGCGTGTTTAGGCAAGTGTGTGCATTAAGCATGGACCACGTGTTCTCCCATATAACAGAGCTTGATAGAAAACGTCAATTGCCTGTCACTACACCATTGCATGGAGGGGATGGGTGGTCTGGGAGTAAAATACCTCAGAACTTCCACCTCTTCTTCTTCTTGTTGATAGTAGGTGCAGTTTGCATGAAGGGTTTGTCCTCCCGATGACTGCACCAGTACTGATGTTGTTGGACCCGTTTATGTTGAAGATGATCGGAGCTATCAAGGTGCTTGTTGCGTTGTGCTGTAGATAGAGGAACGGTGATTAAAACAGAGGTGTGTTAGAGGGAGACTTGCCGCACCGTAGGGCGGTGTGTTGTGTTTATGGCGTCAGCTGATCCTTAGTGTTGCGACGAGGTAGTTGTTTTCTGTGTTTAGCTGTTGGTGGCGCCAGGTATAAATGTGGCGCGGGTCAGATGTGACCCAATTTGTTGGTCGATTGGAGATATTTAGCCAGTGCTTTGACTATTTGGTATTTTTCTTGTGACAAGTGGTCACCGCCTCCTAATATATGCTCGATGGTGAAGGGTATTTTAAGTGCGATAAAGACTTGTTTGAAATTTACTCTGGCACTATAATGTCGGAAGCAGTGCAGGAGATAGTGTTCGACTGTTTCAGGCACCTGACAGTGAGTACAGAGTTCGTTGATGTCTGTTCTGTACTTAGAGCTGGGTGCTGCTAGTTTGGTGTGTCCCAGCCTTAATCTGGTCATCGTTACATCAATTTCTCTGCTTTTATATCGGACATGTTTCCAAGTTTCCTATTTCTTTTTAATGGACCCATAGTGTAAAGGTGAGCATAACGTTTTCCAGTTTGTTGCAAAATCCTGGGAGATGGTATCTTTGAAGGCTCCTTTACGTGCAACATAGGGAATTGGATGACGGGTGAGGTGAGGCGTGTCGTTCATCGCTTTGGCTAGTTGGTCTACAAGTTCATTATATATGGAGAATACCACAATGTACTTCCACCTCTTTTGGGGCTCTGAGTATGGTGCAGTGGGTATAAGTGCGTACCTGCCATCTTGGTGGCCCTCTTCACGGGAGTCATCTCCCGTCACGCAGGGTGCAGTCGCACCTCCACAGATCTCCACAGATGGCTCAAAAGGGCCACCACTTACGGGCTATTCATGCCCGTGCCACCTTTTGGGTGGCTTAATCTAATCTTAATCTAAGGATACACACTTTTTCGTGATATACACACACACACACATATATAATATATATATATATATATACTGACTGGTCTGACTCATATATATATATATATATATATATATATATATATATATATATATATATATATATATATGCAAACAAGCCTGAATGGTCCCCAGGACTATATACAACTGAAAACTCACACCCCAGAAGTGACTCGAACCCATACTGCCAGGAGCAACGCAACTGGTATGTACAGGGACGCCTTAATCCGCTTGACCATCATGACTGGACAAAAGGAAGTGATAGCCAAAGCTATTTGAACCACTTCCCCGCCGGCACTCGGATGGTAATCTTGGGCATAGCATTTTATCAAATCACCTCATTCTTTGCGGAGTCTTGAGGTGGGTAGAATATAGTTGTGCATTAATTGGCTGTTGATTGCTGGTGTTGACTTCTTGATGTGTAGTGCCTCGCAAACGTCAAGCCGCCTGCTATCGCTGTATCTGTCAATGATTTCTGTGTTGTTTACTAGGATTTCTCTGGCGATGGTTTGGTTGTGGGAAGAGATTATATGTTCCTTAATGGAGCCCTGTTGCTTATGCATCGTTAAACGCCTAGAAAGAGATGTTGTTGTCTTGCCTATATACTGGGTTTTTTGGAGCTTACAGTCCCCAAGAGGGCATTTGAAGGCATAGACGACGTTGGTCTCTTTTAAAGCGTTCTGTTTTGTGTCTGGAGAGTTTCTCATGAGTAGGTTGGCTGTTTTTCTGGTTTTATAGTAAATCGTCAGTTGTATCCTCTGATTTTTGTCTGTAGGGATAACGTTTCTATTAACAATATCTTTCAGGACCCTTTCCTCCATTTTATGAGCTGTGGAAAAGAAGTTCCTGTAAAATAGTCTAATAGGGGGTATAGGTGTTGTGTTGGTTGTCTTTTCAGAGGTTGCATGGCGTTTCACTTTCCTTCTTATGATGTCTTCAACTAAACCATTGGAGAAGCCGTTGTTGACTAGGGCCTGCCTTATCCTACAGAGTTCTTCGTCGACTTGCTTCCATTCTGATCTGTGGCTGAGAGCACGGTCGACATATGCGTTAACAACACTCCTCTTGTACCTATCTGGGCAGTCGCTTTTGGCATTTAGGCACATTCCTATGTTCGTTTCCTTAGTGTAGATACACTAAGGATACACACTTCTACACTAAGGAAACGAACGCTGTGCACATTAATGGGTTTAGGTATTGTATGCACTAGCTCTATCTATAAATCCAACATTATGTTTGTAACTCATCTATGTATGTATATTTACCTGAATAAACATTTTGACTTGATTTTTTACCATCCCAAACAATAAAGCTCAGTCCTCCATACCTACTCAACTTCTAAATCACACATCAATACACAACACTCACTTGAGTGTTTAAGGTATTTTATATTGAGAGTATGCATGCCTTTGTATCATGAAATCATATTGATGTGATGTATCATTGAGAATTGGATTTAATCAGAGGATTCAGTGGTATTCCAGGTGGCATTAATTTTCACAAAGTAGTTGCATGGTGGTCTACAGTGCTAGATTGAGAGTACCAAGTGAGGGGTTCGAATCCTCCTCTTGGCTACCATTTTTTTTTTTTCCAGTGATAGTTTCAGAGGGTTGAGAAAAACAGAGCATGAGGAAAATATTTTAATATAATCCAGTTTTATTGTATTAAAAGACAAAAGTATATGCATATAAAATATTAGTTTAGTTTATTTATTATGCACAACATACCCATCCTGTGAGTGGCAGTGGAAATTTTTAAAGGCACATAATGGGCTTATAAATGAACAACAAAATTCATGTAGTTATAAGAATCTCTGTAACTAAGCAACATAATTTGTGTGGTCAATTCATGTAACCAAGCAACAGGACAAAAGTAAGTAAAAATTTAAAAATTTAAAAGCCTATCTTGTATCTATTTGTTAAACACAGAAATCACAATAGCGTGATGCCTTAAATCTATGATTGTGGTCAGTTGAACTCCCGGTTGGAATTCTTTTGCCATGTCGTAACACAGTCCATTAAGGCTCGTGTGGGATCCTCTCGGACATAGGTTCGAACCCTCATCATGGCCCTTGTGAATTTGTTCATTTGTATCTATTCATTTTGCAAATACATGTCTTCATCTTCATCACTTTCTAAGAGCTCCAAGAAAGGCTCATAGACCTCATTTGGCTGGTAGGAACTAAATAAATGTTTGGCTTCAGTAAGTTTGTCAGCACATTGCTTTTGACCCTGATTGAGAAGAGCCAATAATCCACGTTTCTCTTCTTCTGACAGAATTGGGTTTTCAATGGTGTACGTGTTAGAATCCTGGAATATAATATTTAAAACATCTTAGAGTCAAATATATACTGTACCTATTTAGTTGTACATAATGCAAATATATAAAAGTATAGATTAAGTAAAACAAAAGGATACAAATAATAATAAAAGCCATATTCTCCACAGTACCACTCTTGAAAATGGAAGTGTTTCATAGTTTAAATGTGAAAGGTGATGGCAATATTACTCTGACTAATTGAACACATTTAAGTGAGTTGAGTGTTTTGAAGATCTAAATTGCAAAAAGTATTTTGAATTTCTTACCTTGCAGAGACATGAAGGGAAAGAATCACATTGTAATTCTTGAATATACTCGGATAGTTTGTCCCTTTTCTTTTTGTAGTACTGTAACCATGTTATCATTTCTTGAATGGTTAGTGATTCCTCCTCTCTACATCGCTTCTGGAGCTCAAACTTTTCCACTGCACTTCTTTTTTTAGTCAGGGACACTATAATGCAAAATGAAAATACAGTATGTGATTGACAAATTATAATAATGGGAATCATTTGTGAATTAAACATCATTAAAAATTGTATCTATAAAATTTACCTTTAGAAAACAAACTCAATTTAATGGTATTGCAGTCTTTCCATATATAAAAGTACAATTAATACAAATAATATATAAATATTTGAAAATGCTGAGAAAACTAATGAATCATTAGATCTTGTGTAAATACCACTTGTGTTTTGATGAAGCAATAAATTGTGCCATGGAAGGATGCCAGTTAAAACATCTGCTTCAGACAAATCCGGATGGTTCTGATTGTAGATTTTTATGAGATCTCGTAGTTTTTTTTCTCAACTTCATTTTTGTTTCTCAATACAGCTCTCATTTTAGATGAAACTGTAAAGTTTCAGGTTGTTATCAAATATTTGATTTGCACCAATAGTATTTTACATAAAAAACTAATTTAACAACTGTGTACTGTATTAATGTTTAGGTTTCAGTGAACAAACAAAAAAACAATTAATGTCTACCTGCATAAGTGGTACTGTAATCTGATTTTTGCGATGCCTTATATTCTCTCCATATGCCTCGATAGTATGCTCAATGTTATTGGCAGAGGATCTGTTATTTAAGGATCTTGCAATGATCAGTAATTTTCATCTCCATTTCTCAATAACAGATTCTGGGACATTAAGCCTGTGAATCTCATTTGAAACTGCTGCAGCTGTCTCTGTGGCCTATTTAAAAATAAATGCCATCATATTTATTGTAAAATTTATGTTCAGAGTTAAACAAAGTCTTTTGAACTATCCTTAGTGCATTGTCAAGGTCTGAGTATGTGTTTTTCAGATTCAGACCTTGACAAAGCACCAAGGAGTGTGTGAAAGACTTGGTGTAATTCTTAATTATACATGTATATGTTGGTTGCATATGAGTATAATGCTACTTTATATGAGCCAAAATGCCTTTCTGCAATTTCCTATATTCTTATATTATTTTATACAGTAACATTATCTGGATATATATAACCATCAAATATTACCATTGTACTGATTTGATTGAAAGGTACAAAATTTAGAACTAGATTAAACAAAAATTAACACATACCAGCTTTAAGCATGTTCTTAGTGTTGTTGTTATATCTTGAAAGGTAGGAAAATACTTGCTCTGCCTCCTCCCCAGATGTCAGGCCACTTCCTTCTTGCCACCGCCCTCCATACAAAACCTTTGACATAATAGCATAACGTTTGTTAAAAACTACCTACTGTATTAACAATTTGCATTTAACATAGATAAATCCTTACATATAAGAGTTTAAAAGAAATTATATTTTCCAACTTACAGTAAAACGAAGTCAAAATATTATTACAGTATTAGATTATTTACCTGACAATACCAAGAATGTCCTTTGGCATGTAGGACTCCTAAAAAAGGCTTTCCTTGCCCAAGTGAGAACTTCTGTTCTCTTGATGAAATCTTTAAGGCCCATGGCCAGTATTTACAGATAACCTGGCATATGAAGGACACATTTTGTAAACGGTTCATTTGCAAATAGTGGGCATAACTGTAGAGCTCTCCCGGATACATATTTAATGCAGCAAGAATAATTCCATGTCGACAGGAAGCCATGCTTATGCCGGTTTCATCCAAACTTCTAAATGAAACAGGTTTATTTTTGGCAGCTTTCAATGTCGACACTCCACACATATGGCTACTGTGTTGGACAAAAGTAAAATTATATATATATATATATATATATATATATATATATATATATATATATATATATATATATATATATACTAGTATATATATTTATATATATATTAGTCATATATAAATGTAATTTTTTTTATGTAATATTTTTCATCATTCAATATGCATTCCATATATTTTATAGATTTTTTTGAACATGATATAGTTAGGAACCGTCCAATTAATATACATTATTGATAATGTCTCAAGCTAATATATAAAGGTACTCTTCAAATATTGTATGGGTAAAAACCTGGTATTAGGTCTTAGGTTTCTATTTGAAAACCTATTTTTAGGCTTTCGAACAGATGTAAAAATATTCTTACTTGAGTTTTAAGGTTCTGAATAGTGGAAACGTGATCTTGAACTTCTTTGTCACAAGCGAAGATACCACCAAAATAATATGAGTTTCTGATCCCTCTGGAATGATATTAAATTAATGAATGTTCATTGTGTGAGACATTTTGATGACAGTTAAACATCATTTCACTTAAAACTAATTCAACTACCCAAGCTGGCATTCACATCATAATCCCTCCTATTCTAAATGAATGTATATAGTGAAATAAATATTTTTTAATTAGTAAAGCCTTAGTCCAAATAAAAAAAATCAACTAAAAGTTGAAAGGCAAGTAATAAAGGTGTAATCAGTTAACAAATAAAAAAAATCTGATTAAAAGTTGCATGACACTTTATAAATATTATACAGTGCTGTGTTTATAGTACTACAAACATATTACTACACCTTACATTATACCTTAACAATAATGAGCAGCATTAAATATTTTAACTTGAATATTTACCTCCCAACTTTGTTGTAACGATACAGTTTCTTGTTGCCATCAATATGTACAGCCACAGGTGTTGTATCACATGCAGGGCACCCCTTGTCAAATTCTCCTTTTATTCTCCCAAGTTCATACTGATGGAAACGCCATTCAAAGAAGACTCTTTTTGTTGTCTCAAAATTGATGGGACCATGCTAAGATGTAAAATGTGTGTAAGTAATTATCAAAAAGTGTCAAGCAGTGGCATGTTAAGCAACAGACTATAAATACCTGCAGGAAATGAAAATAAACTTACATGAGCATTACATAAAAAGAGAAATTGTTAAAGATTGGTAATCCATTTCCATTTCTTATGATATTAGACATATATAAAATATATATTTAGAATATTCATACTATTTATTAATTTAATAATATTTAACCCTATTTCTTAAATAATAACAATGCATTTGCTTAGTAACAAACTTAGTTTTTAAGTTTATACACCAATTTAATACTTACACTATTAAAACAGTAATGGTATGAAAACTTACACGCCCTCGAGAAGCACCAAATAATTCCAGTGCACTAACTAATGCCTGCAGAGAAGTTCCAGGGCTGCTTCTCTTGAGAAAATGCCAGGAATCCAATAGATTTATGCTGTAGAAAGTGCTACTATTTCTTCCAGTTGAATAAAAACCAGACTGGTGCATGGCTTTCCCAAGTTCTTCATCTACATATCCGCACTTGCACCTAAATATTGGGGTATACAGATCATGCCTTCCTGCCCCCCACAAAAAAAATAAAAAAAATTGAAGTAAAACAATTTTATTTGGCAAGGGATTCAAGTGTGGCTATCAATATATGTGTAAACCAACCCATAAACAATTCTCTGTATGGTTATAAATACGTATGTGATATAAATACGTCTTCATAAGTGAATATACAGTGGTAAAGAGAGTGAAGTATAAATGGTTATATTGATGAAGACTGTAGCCTGGGTCACCTGAGCAATGCCAGCTACCAATACTAGTATCAAATAAATGTTTCTTAAAGTAACCTACCACTTAAAGTTACAAAGATGCACAAATTATTGAAGCTTAAAGTTGTGAACTTGCTCTCACTGCAGTTCGGGCAGGAATTAGGTGGATGTGCTGGTACAACAGGCTCTGGTAACAATTAAATTTACAAGATCAGCTATGCAGCAAAATAAATACATGTTTCAATCATTACATTTTAAATTACTAATAATTTTTTTAGCATTAACTGGAGTTACATGAAAGATTTATATTTAATAACAAATAAAAATTCATTTATTTAACTAAAAATCTGTAATTAATGAGGTAATCAATAATTAATGAGGAAAATGACCAATACAAAAACTACTAAAAAAATTACATGAACTAAATAAAATTTTAAAACACTGCTTGGTTCAGGATAGAAATGAGAGTATAAGAAACAGACTACAGGTACATTACTTACTCCAGTGAATGACATTCCCATCTGAACACACAGTTTGTGTTGGGTCTAAAGGCTCGAAGAACCCATTTTTCCAGCAGAATCGCTGGTGGAAAGGCATTACAAAATGCTGCTGCTGATCACATTTATGACACACAAAATTGAAAGCAGTCTTCACATTTTATGCTTGCCTCACAACTTCTACATTGTACAAAACATTTGCCTGGTTTTCCAATAAATAATGTAATTATGTACTTTGAATGGTAATACTGGATTTAGAAATATTGTATACCAAGTTTAAAAATGACAAACATCTAAGTGTATTCAAAGATTGACATTAATCATGCATTTCATAAATACACTGAAATTTATCCATAATTACACACTAAAGATGTTATTTACCTTTATCTGGAACACTCAACTTCGACAATGTCCAGCTAAACAACATTGACCTATGTTCTCCCCATTTAATCTCACTATTTTTTCTTCTTTTTTTGCCAATCAGAAATGCTTGCTTGAGAATCATAAATTTCCTCCAGTTCTGCAGCAAGTACTTTGAAATATGGGATTCTAAATTAGTCAGGAAAATCTTCAAGAGCAAATAGATGTAATAAATAAAAGTGTATTTTATACATATTATATAAGCATCTAGAACAACTGACAGCTTTCAGTAATGTGTTAGTTAGACTATGAGATATATATATATATATATATATATATATATATATATATATATATATATATATATATATATATATATATATATATATATATATATATATATGACAATGTCAGACCACGGAGGAAAAAATGAAACAGGAAATTTCCTTAAGTACTTTCGTATATTAAATACATCTTCAGAAGGTCATTTTACAGATCGAGTGATGGGTATAAATAGGCAGGAGAGAGTGGTGAAGTAAGGTGAGGTACAATACTTGGACAACGCAGAAGGCCCATTGGCCCAACAGATGCACCCAATTGACCCATCCGATGTAGCCCAATGGCCCATCTGATACAGCAGACATACAAGCATAATGCATAGGTAATTATAACATAAAGAGGTAAATATATACAATAAATTAGTGAGACAAATGTTTTTCAATGATTCTACTTAAATCGCCCTTTAGCTGATCTATTAGAAATGGATCTAAGTTATATAGACCACTGCTAATATTCAAATTACTTTCTTTGGTGATCTGTATCAAAGTGGATTCAATTATGTTTCTGTTATAGGTGCTTTTACAATTTGTTATTGAAGACGCACTCTCCCAATCAATTTGGTGAGCTTTTTCTGACAAATGCACAAACAAAGCATTAGATAATTGGCCATGTCTTATTGGTATATATATATATCTTATATATATATATATATATATGTGTGTATATCACGATTATTTTCGTGATATACACATATATATATATATATATATATATATATATATATATATATATATATATATATATATATATATATATATATATATATATATATATATATATATATATATATATATATATATATATATATATATATATATATATATATATATATATATATATATATATATATATATATATATATATATATATATATATATATATATATATATATATATATATATATATATATATATATATATATATATATATATATATATATATATATATATATATATATATATATATATATATATATATATATATATATAGACAAGAGACTCAACTTCAGCACCCACATTCAACACATAACTAAGAAAGTCTCTAAGACAGTTGGTATACTCTCCAAAATCAGATATTATGTTCCTAACTCTGCTCTCCTCTCACTATATTATGCACTAATCTACCCCTATCTTAATTATGGTATCTGTGCATGGGGGTCTACCACTGCAAACCACCTTAAGCCCATCATCACACAGCAAAAATCTGCTATCAGAATAATAACTAACTCTGCTTTCAGACAACACTCAGCTCCCTTGTTTAAATCTCTAAACTTGCTAAATATTAACTCCCTCCACACATTCTCTTGTGTCAACTACATTTACAAAACCCTGTTCTTAAATGCAAACCATGCTCTGAAACTCTCCCTGGACAGATGTAATAGGACCCATTATCACCACACCAGAAATAAATATCTCTTTGATATCCCCAGGGTCAAACTTAATCTGTGTAAACACTCTATGCAAATTAAGGGACCTAGTCTATGGAACTCACTCCCTAGTGAATTGAAAAACTGTAAAACTTTTGCCTTATTTAAAAGCAAAACCAAAAAGTACCTAACTTCATCTATTTAGTTTCCTACACTGAGCTTTAAATTTGCTCTGTACCTAGTGTTACCCAATCTCCTAATTTTTATGTAATATCAAACAACCTTATCATTGTGTTCATTGCTGTCTTCTTTTATGTGCTAGCCATATGCTGTATGGTGACTACCAATTTTTTGTCAACTACCATTCAAGCTGTCATTGCAATCAATCTTATATTGTTTCTGCTGTATTGTGCCTACCAATTTGTTGTCAACTACCATTTTAAGCTGTCATTGCAATCAATCATAGCTACCTATGTGCTTTAATATACTGTACCTATAATTTTCTCTCATCTTATTTTTCATTCCATGTAATCTGTTATCATTTTTTGTCTATAAATTTTGCAAGTATTTACCTCCTTAAAATTTTCTTAGATTAAGGACCTGCCCGAAACGCTGCGCGTGCTAGTGGCTTTACAAGACTGTAATTACCATATTTGTATCCTCACATTCCTTATGTACATTCTTGTATATGCATAAATAAATAAATAAATAAATAATATATATATATATATATATATATATATATATATATATATATATATATATATATATATATATATATATTAGATACTAGGTACTAAGATTATATTACATTACATAGTTCAAATAGGGACGTACCAGAATTCAATGATTTTGGTGTTTGTTCTGCAGCTGGTAAATATGTTTGAGTATATGTTGGTACACTAGTTGAGAAGTGAGAACTTTGAATGTGTGGAGGTGAAAGAGAAGCAGGCAGAAGGGCTGTTTGGCAGAAAATCAACCTTTAAGTATGGTAATTCCACAACACTTTATCTATTTTTAATTTGTAAACTATCTACATTTTTTTGCTGTCTATGACCATCGCTGCCCCTATCTCCACCGAACACCAGTGTATTTGCTGCTATGCAAGGGCAGACCAATATGGCAGCCATGGCCTAATCTGTCATAAGACACAGGGAAAAATTGCCAGATATGAAGCAGTCAATGACATTATAAAAAAAAGTTTGGCTAGTTTGGTTCAGATGTAATACAAACAAAGAGCAACAGTTTCAAGTTCAACAAAGCAAAATGTAGGGCTGACAACAGGAAATTATTTTTGATCCAGAGGGTTATTAACACATGGAACTGCCTACCCACCAGAGCTGTAACTGCCAAAACTGTGCGGAATTTCTAAATATACCCAAAAAAAGATCATAAAGGCAAATGGGGGGAATTTCAACAAGCCGCGGGCTTCCTGTACTCTTCTAGGCTACTAGAGTTTGTGGCATTCAGGTAAATATCTGTTTTCAAAGGAGAAGTTGACTATAACCTTGGATTATCTATAAACAAATTTTGAATAATAAAACACCAAGAACCTAAATAATTTTAAGTCTGAGGCAAAATGAAATCTACACTAGCAAATAAACCTATCATTAAACTATGATATAGGAACACACAAACATGGGTCATGGAATAAATAACTAAATAAAAAATTACCTTATGATAAGTTTGAACGTTGTTTGATTGATTTCAATAATCCTGCAGTAATTTTCTCCTTTTCCTTTCTTGTTTGAAGGCTTCAGATAATTTAGGTCCTCAATATTTAAACTTCGCTTCATATATTCACATTTTTTCTGGAGAGCTGAGTTTATTTTCAAATATTCACGATGAAGGTTCTCTTTAGCTAAAATTGCTAGTGTCTGGAGACCTTCTGTTAAAAAAATATACATTCTCAATAGGATACATTATAACTGTAGCAAGAGAAGCTACATTAAATGTTTTGATGTAATTGTCTAAACCAATGATCAAAGTGATAGAAATTATAATGGGATGATGGATTTCAAGCCAATTATGCTGAGCATAGAAAAAAAATTCTGTTGTTATTGTTAAAACAAAGACTTACTGTATTACACAAGCTTTTAAACTTTGATATTAATGTATTATAAAGGCCATAATCAAATGATATTATAAACAATACCATCATTATTGTCCAGAGTTATTCTTGGTACATCTGGTAAGTAAAGATAGTTTTCAGGAGCCAAGAACGAATCTGCCAAAAAAATATTGGACGTTGTACATTCCAATTTGTTACAATAGCCTAGTACTGCATACTAATACAAATTAAAAAACAAATTGGAAATAATAGCTAGGCTAACCTAACACAATGACATAACATAACACATCTTTATTTGTAATTTTGTCAAAAGCTGATTAAATGTTTTTTACCTGCTAGTATGCTGGCTGGGGTCGATCTTCCAGGCATATTTATTCTACTGACTTGTGGTCTTAATGCTGCCGTAGTAAAAGGATTTGTGACAGACATTGTACTGCTTTCTGTATCATCTACCTATTACAAATATAAATACAATTATTTATTCAGGTAAAGTACATACTGTACATACAAGGTAAGATACAAAAGTAGATGGATTTATAGATAGAGCTAGTACATACAATTTTTTTTTTGAGATATATACAAGAGTTGTTACATTCTTGTACAGCCACTAGTACGCGTAGCGTTTCGGGCAAGTCCTTAATCCTATGGTCCCTGGAATACGATCCCTTGCCGCGAAGAATCGTTTTTTCATCCAAGTACACATTTTACTGTTGCGTTAAACAGAGGCTACAGTTAAGGAATTGCGCCCAGTAAATCCTCCCCGGCCAGGATACGAACCCATGACATAGCGCTCGCGGAACGCCAGGCGAGTGTCTTACCACTACACCAAGGAGACTGTTAAATGCCTAATGCCTAAAGCCACTATTACGCAAAGTGTTTCAGGCAGGAAAAACACTAAGACTAAAACTTAATACTAAAAGAGATTAAAGTATAAATTGTGTTGAGAAAAAATAAGAAAAAAATGGAAAAAAAGGGAGGGGGGGGGGGTTGAAACATGGCAGAAAAAAAGTAAAATACAATTTGGTCAACAAACAGCATTGTTTTAAATAGAAGAGATGGGTTGACATTTTGGGGGTGAGGTAGGTTACATTGAGTTAATTAGGTAGTACTTAGTTTTTAACTTAAACTGGTTGGGAGAGGTACAGTCTTTAACATAATTGGGAAGGCCACATTCGAGATCCCTTGATTTGTAAAGCATTTCTAGTTTAACTAAGTCGTACTCTTGGAATATCAAATAGGTATTTGTTTCTGGTGTGGTGCTCATGGGATCTGTTACAACCTTCTAGGAAGCTTATTATAAAAAAACATAATTGATAAAAACAACATGCTGCATACTAAAAACGTATTGGAATGTGTATACCAATATGCAGTAAAATATATTCTTCCTACACATAACAAGCAAAAGTTTAATACTGCAACAAGTTTTTGAAAATTATTTAACTAAACAGCAATGAAACATTTGCATTATTTTCAATTAGTAAATATTACATATGAAGGAATTATTTACATAAATGCCGAGAAAACTTTACATACCATGCCCAAATCTAGGATCTTCTTCTTGATAGTAGGTGCAGTTTGCATGAAGGATTTGTTCTCCCGATGACTGCAAAATCTAGGATCACGTGTGTTATTGTTTTTGAACGAATGATCACATGTTTACATTCATTGTGATGAAACTAACAACTTTTAATTATATACAGCTTTTTATATCAACTGTTTTACTTAAATTATTTTCTGTTATAGGTTCTAAATATAACTAATATTTGCTTCTTTCTTATGCCATTTGTAATTAATGTCATAAAGCTTTAATTATCATCTGAATGCACCAAACTGTGCCTTTTCATATTTCCAAACTGAAGTCGAACACCCGAAAATGAATATATCCATGAAAACTGAATCACGTCCTACTATTTCGAGAATTGTTAGTTCTTTTTCATACTAATATGTCTAGTTTGTGTCATATAAGTATTCATCCCGATGGTTGGTAAATATTGGTGAAACAGAAGGATAAAAGTCAAACATCTGTTAACTTTTCTTTTAAAGTACTGTATAGCTGGAAAATATCAAGGCAAACCTTCGACAATCTGCCGATTTCCTTTCCTCTTCAAGGCTACTATTGTTAGTGTCTGTCACGGTAAACCTATGTAAAATAGGAATTTTTTTTTCAACAGGACCCTGCACTAGAGTTGATGTTGGGAGACGCTCTGCTTCGTGGCTGATGGATTAATATTTGACTGTTGGTCAGGACTTGAGCATTGTTAATTACAGTTACACTCTGTTGGAGCACTAGACGGTCAATGGTCGTCGTTCTTCTTTATGATAGGTTCAGTTTATTGTTTAGTCACGGGAGACATCTCCCGTCAGGCAGGGTGCGATCACACCTCCACAGATCTTCAGTATCATCTATTGATACTGGTAATGGCTCAGAGAGGGCATCCACTTACGGGCTATTCATGGCTGTGCCACCTTTTGGGTGGCTTAATCTTCATCAATCACCAATCAATTAATCTATTGTTTAGTGGCCAGTATTATTCAGTTTATTGGCCAGTGCGTTGGCATCAGTTCTCATTGACTAACGAGCAAAAATTAGAAGGATTTAAATCGTAATTTAAATAGTTATCTCATTCCTTCTTTCCTTTGAATGTCAGTGACTGTGCTTCTGCTATGCTTAATTGCCTCAAAAGCGGCCAATTTTCATGATACCTTAAATTATAAAGGCAAAATTTGGGCTGAGTATACAAGTATAAGCAAAATTGACTGAGTATCCGCAAAAATTAAGAAAAGAAAACAGCACACCCGTTACATTAAAGAAAATGTATTCCTCGTTTCGGGGAAAATATTCTAGGGAGGCCAGCCGGTAACTGGAACAGCCCGGTAAGTGCATTTATGTACTAAATACGTAAGTATGAAAATGTACTTATTACACTTAGTATTAAAACGTACTGTCTATTCGGAGGATGGGTTGAATGATGACGTGACTGTTGCTACAGTCTGCTACAATGATGACGTGAATGTTGCTACAGTCTGCTACAATGATGACGTGAATGTTGCTACAGTCTGCTACAATGATGACGTGAATGTTGCAACAGTCTGCTACAATGATGACGTGAATGTTGCTACAATCTGGTACAATGATACCGTGAATGTTGCTACAGTCTGCTACAATGATGACGTGAATGTTGTTCTAGTTTGCTACAATGGTGACGTGAATGTTGCTACAATCTGCTAGAATGATGACGTGAATGTTGCTACTGTCTGCTACAATGATGACGTGAATGTTGCTACAATCTGTTACAATGATGAAGTGAATGATGCTACAGTCTGCTACAATGATGACGTGAATGTTGCTACTGTCTGCTACAATGATGACGTGAATGTTGTTCTAGTTTGCTACAATGATGACGTGAATGTTGCTTCAATCTGCTAGAATGATGACGTGAATGTTGTTACAGTCTGCTGGAATAATGATGTGAATATTGTTACAGTCTGCTACAATCATGACGTGAATATTGCTACAGTTTGCTAGAATGATGACGTGAATGTTGCCTTAGTCTGCTGGAATGATGACGTGAGTGTTGCTTTAGTCTGCTAGAATGATTACGTGAATATAGCTATAGTCTACTAGAAAGATAACGTGAAAGTGGCTACAGTTTGCTAGAATGATGATGTGAACTATGCCACATTATGCTAGAATGATGATGTGAATTATGCCACTGTATGATAGAATGATGATATGAATTATGCCAATGTATGTTAGAATGATGATGTGAGTTATGCCACAGTATGCTAGAATGATGATGTTAATTCTGGTAAAGTTAGCCAGTTTGTTAAATTGTTAAGTCCCGAAATTATATTCAGAATAATGTTATTGTATAGGAAGCTTTATATTATTTTAAATTGAATGAGGTAATCGTAATTTTTTATATTATGTTCTTGTTTGCCTTCTTCTCCATTATTAAGGACGTCTTTACTGCCTCTGAGAGCAGCACTATCAGTAGCATTTAGTCTTGGCCAGGAGCATCTTGAGCCACTCCCGGCTCTCGACTTGTTATTGCAGGACTTGCTCTAAGAGGCAATAAACGTTGAGAGGATGATAGGTGACCTGAGATGAGGCGAGAAGTGGTTCGCTGTTAAGGTCTTGTGGCACAACTCACGAGGTGACAAAACATCTTCTGACACCATCTACGATGTCTTCTGACACAGAGCTCCGAACATTGACTACCATCTAGAGAAATTCCAGTTCAGGAAAGATTTTTGGTGTCAAATTCGTTGACGAGTGGAAATTGTTGCTTACCAACACCAATAAGGTAAATGGTAAAGCTAGCAGAACAGCTAGTTCTTCAGTCCAGACTAGGGACAACGGCCAGGTCTCCTGCCTCAGCTCTGTGGGAACAAGACCACTTCCACCTGAAGTCCATGAACAGTCAAAGGAAACAACACATCATCTGCAATTTTACCCAAGAAACATGGCTGAGTATGTACTCACGTCCTGGGTAATTGCCTCCTGGGCCCATAACCACAGCTCGAGGGCTTCTTCCTGATGACCCTCGCCTGGTGAAGACCGATCACCAGATTGGTCTTCCACTACACACGCAACTTTTGCCTCTCGTACACGACATGTATGGCCGGAAAGCCATATTATGTTGGGTGGGGATGAGTTTCCTGGACAAAAGAGGAACTCTGGTAATTGGAATCAGTAGAAGATATTTTCGCTTCTCAGTTTGCGACGCAAAGAAGAATTTTGGTCGGTCAATGAAATCAAAGCTGGACTTTGAATAGTTACAATGTTTCACTGTTTAGCAAACACGAAGAGAGTTTCAAAATTGATATTAAGACAAATCCGATCTACATGAGGCGGCGAAATTCTCAATGATCAATATGCAGGTTATTGAATATATGATGATCTATTTGTTAACACTAAGCCCTCAGATAGATAGAACACTAGGCATTTAAAGAGGTTGTACCTTAGGTACTTTAATAGATAGTACATTAGGTACTTGAATATGTAGACACAAGGAACAAGAATAGACACTAGGTACTTCAATAGCGACTAAATTCTTGAAAAGATAGACATAATGAACTTGAATAGAGAGAGACTAGGTAGTTGAATTGAGACTAGGTACTTGAGTAGATAGATTCTAGGTACTTGAATAGGGACGAGGAACTTGAATAAAAAAGATACAAGGTAATTGAATAGACACTTCTTGAATAGAGAGAGAATAGATACTTGAATAAAGAGAGAGAATAGATACTTGAGTAGTGCGAGACTAGGTACTTGAATAGAGAGAGAATAGATACTTTAATAGAGCGAGACTAGGTACTTGAATAGAGATAGAGAATAGATACTTGAATAGAGCGAGACTAGGTACTTGAATAGGGAGAGACTAGGTACATGAATAGGGAGAGACTAGGTAATTGAATACTAAAGAGAGATACTACGAAACAGAATGGGCAGAATAATTTGCTCCTTATAGTTAACAGTGATTCGTTCAGTCTCAAAGTTCAAATTACACCTCTCACCAGGTGCAGTAGTTCTAATGCATTTTGTTCTAATGCATTTAATCTTCAACTAATTTCTGCACATATAGTTATTGCCACAGTTATGAAACAGTTATGTTGCTTGGACGACCACAGCCTGAGGACGGGATGGGGACGGCAGCAGCTTGGACGACCACAGCCTAAGGACGGGTTGGGGACGGCAGCAGCTTGGACGACCACAGCCTGAGGACGGGATGGGGACGGCAGCAGCTTGGACGACCACAGCCTAAGGACGGGTTGGGGACGGCAGCAGCTTGGACGACCACAGCCTAAGGACGGGTTGGGGACGGCAGCAGCTTGGACGACCACAGCCTAAGGACGGGATGGGGACGGCAGCAGCTTCGACGACCACAGCCTAAGGACGGGTTGGGGACGGCAGCAGCTTGGACGACCACAGCCTAAGGACGGGATGGGGACGGCAGCAGCTTGGACGACCACAGCCTGAGGACGGGATGGGGACGGCAGCAGCTTGGACGAGCACAGCTTGAGGACGGCAGCAGCTTGGACGACCACAGAATAAGGACGGGATGGGGACGGCAGTAGCTTGGACGACCACAACCTGAGGACGGGATGACCATAGTTGTGAGAAATTTACATTGATCGAAATCGTGTGAAGTCAAGATGTATGCTGAATAAAACTGTGTATGAAGTGGACACATAGGCCTATGCTCTGTGACTGTGTGTAGTGAAGATGTGGGTCTATACTCCTGGTAACCGTGTGTGGTGATCCATAACATTCTAGTTCTTAAAAATCTCTCGTATTGCAGGAAAGAGCGTTTAGTGATGACAAGCCGCTGTTCACAGCCCGGGCTGTACAGCTGCTGGGGATGTCAGTAACTATTATATCGGTAACAATTATTGCGTAGACATAATAGAGAAATAACTTTACCGTTGGCAGTGTTATTCTCAGTGATCATCGCCTGTTGTGTGTTACAAGACAACGGAATGTTTTTGTGCACACCTCACCTCTCGTGAACATTGTGAGGTGAGGGCAGTGCTGCCTCACGTCATGTGGTACATTGTGAGGTGAGGACCACTCTGCCTCGCCTCTCGTAGTATATTGTCAGGTGAGGGCAACACTGCCACTCCTCACAACCCAGATGCTGCTGACGTTATCCACTGTGCAGTTTGCAACCACCTACAGAGAAATCC